TAAACAATTAGCATCTGGGGTGCCAGGGCCATGAAGAGGTGCTTGTAGCTCCAACTCCCCACCGGGGAGGAGTGACTGGAGCAGCTGGGCTTGCAGGGCTGACAAACCAACTGCAGCTGGAACAGGTGTGCTGGGAGTAGGAAGCAGGCCCGGCACAGGCAGAGGCCTCCTATGCCCTCCAGCCATCGGGTCCTGTCCCCAGTTAGAGGATGAGGCACAAATGGCCTCCACCCCTAGTCCCTGTGGCTGGGCACATCAGACAACAGCTCATAGTGATAGTCCCTGCTCTCTGCTTCCTTGGTCTGTGTCACATGTGAGTGGACATCCTCTGTTGGAGTGCAAACCCTCCCGTGGCCCTTCTGCCACGCTCCTTCCACCGGGAGACTGCTTTACTCAGAGTAGCTCTGATAGGGAGCTACACATGCAACGCCCTGTTTTGACTCAGCTGGACTTTAAGACCCTCCCTGAGAAGAGGACAGTGTCAGGGAGCTGACCGCTGAAAGTGGTGTCTGACAGTGGTGACTACTTCTCTTCTTCCCTGTGCAATTTCACACAAATTGGAGGCTCAGACCTTTTATTCCTGGAAACACAGCCAATACCAGGTGGCCATGCTTAACAGACATTCTGGAAGGCCTGAGGATCATAGCAGGATGGGCTGAAAATAAAACTTAAAGTTGGTCACCAGGGCTCTGCCCTGGAAAAGCATTGGTCCCTTTCTCTGAAGCACCCCCTCTTAATAGTGGGGGTACCCTTATTATCATCCCATTTTTCCTTACCTCAGCTTCTATCTAGATGGAGGGTATACGCCACTCTGTCTGTCTCACTGAAATACGTCCAGCACAGAGGGAGCTTGGTGCAAGCTCCAGAATGAGCTTCCAGGTTGTTTGCTGTCCAACCTCCAGCAGCAGCCAGCCCTGGGGGATCATGAGGGCCACTGGTGAGGGTCGCCCTGATTTTTTCACAGTCTAGGTGTCTGGAGGCAGAGGATGTGAGGTAGGCAGGCAAACCCATGGAAACCCAAAACAAGAGAAGGAACCTGAACATCTGGTTGTGGAAACCATGTTGGCATCTTGCCTTCCTAGCACTGAGTAGTGGGGAGGGGAGGCTTTCCTGTCTTGTCAGGGTCTCAGAGGCCGGTGCTGGCCACACAGCTTCACTTCCCCCTCCAGCGTCTCCTGGGCCACTCATCACCTGCCCCCCACCCCAGACGTTAACACAAGGTCTATTTCACCAGACCCACAGCGGACTGAAAGGCCCCCAGGGACAGGGCCCAGCCTTCCATGGTGGCAATGTGGGCACACGGGCCATGTATTACCTGATTTGCGTGGTCTCCTTTCAAAGCCAGAGGTGGGGATGGAGGGCAGATGTGGGGATCTTTGACTTCACCCTATGCTCGCCAAAGTGGTTCTCATTCAGTTGTTCTTCCCCTGGAAGTCCCTGAAAGTCCAACAAATAGACTTTAGGGAGAAAAAATCCCAACTACACTCCAACGTGGTTGTAATTGTAAAGCAAGCCTGCTGGCTGGCAAGGCATGGGGGATGGGAGGCTCAGAGGCAGCTACACCTCCGCCCTACAAAGCCTCCCTGCCCTACAATTCGTAACTCTTTCCCAGGGTGCTCTCTGTCTCCCTCGTCATTTTTGTGATCTAGCCTCTCCTGTAGTCACACTGCTCCTTGTCCCACTGCCGCTGCTTTTATCACAACCTCTAACTCAGTTGTGCAGTTACACACGCGTGGACCCCCATACTCCAGTGTCCACGATCAGGCATGCGTGCCCCACGCCCATGATCCCAAGCGCCTTTGCATTAACACGTTTGAGGTCACAGGTGCTCGCCAGAGACCTGATGAATTCATTCACCCTGCAGTAATCCTGCTTGTTGTGAAAGAGAAATTGCTTACCTTTCATCGGATGCTCACAAGAGACTATTTCCCTTCTCAGCTTTCCTTCAGCATTAGTTTTTGAGCTTTATTAAAAGCACCCAACACTGAACTTCTATGACTTGCTTATTGTCTCCAACACAAAAAAATAACTGCAGGGCAACTAGCGGCAGAGCCCAAGACTGAGACTGGCACAGAGGTTCTCAAAATCATTCGGATGGATGCATGAATGACTGAGGTGAAAGCCTGAAGATCCTGCTCCTAAAGGGAGCCTGGCAAGACCTCAAGGTCAGCTGGCACTCTTCTCCTCAGGCAGCTCTGGGCCTGCAAGGGCTGAAGCAGAGAAGGGTTCTCTCTCAGCAAGGCTACTGGGGGAGGGGCTCAGGGAGCCCAGATTGGATCCACCTGTGAGGAACAGACTTTGTGGGCCTGAACTCTGTTTAATATATTGCTGTGTGGTGAATTTTCCCAGAACTTTATAGCTTAAAACAATTTTACTGCTATTTCCTGTGTGATATTGATTAACAAGTAATACGTACTTGGTCATTCACATTTGGTCTTTATCCACAGTCCTGGCTCTGAGCTCCCCAAATCCATGGAATTTCTTAATCATTGAGATTGTTAAAGGTGTCTCTTGTTATGTTAATGAAGTCAACTTTTGGAATATACCTGAGGATGGGGAGTGGGGGCTGCTTGCCAGGAAAAACAACACCAAGAGAAGGCATAAGTTCCAGCCCCAGCCACAGACCTCCTGGGAGTGGAGGGGAGAAGGGCTGGAGGCGACTCACTTGGCCAGGACCCCATGATTTAATCAAGCTGGTCTATGTGCAAAGCTTCCCTAAGAGCCCCAAAGGAGGGCCTTGGAGAGTTTCTGGGTTGGTGAACTCCTGGGGAGCCCAGAGAACCACACCTTGCATTACGCATCTCTTCCATCTGGCTCCTGAGTCATAACCTGTGTAATAAATCACTGACCTAGTGAGAAGACAGGTTTCCGGAATTCTGTTAACTTTTCTACAAACTAGTCAGACTCGAGGAGGGTGTCCTGGGAACCTCTCTGATCTGTGGCTGGTGGTCAACCAAGTCCGGTCTGGGCTGTGCTTGGTTTCTGAGGCAGAGGGTGGTTTTGGGAGACTGAACCCTCGAGCTTGTGGAATTGGAGCTCAGGATTGAGCTGAGCCGAGTTAAATGGTCAGACTCCTACATGCACCACATGCAGAAACTGGTCTCAGGACACTAAGACCTCCTGATCACGTTGTCTGGAATTCACACGTTGCCACTTGGTAATGCTTCTATTCCACCAGGATTTCAGTAAGATCGCTCAATGGCAATCAGTTGGCATAAGGGCTGGTCTAGTGCGTCCAGGTTGGCTTCCCTTGGGTATCTGGTAGCTAGAAAGAAGGTAGGCTTACTGATAATATGCCTGTACCTGGTTTTCCCAATGTGGCAGCCTTGGGGTACCAGACTTCTGCATGGCAGCCCAGGGCTCCCAAAGGCTGTTTAAGACCAAGCGGATACTACCAGGCTGCTTTTGACTGGTCTGGGGAGATGTGTGGCATCATCCCCACCAAGCAAGACACAGCAGCCAGACTCAAGAGGAAGGGTTGGAACTACTGGGTATAGAGACCATGAGAGTAGGGAAGGGGGCATCTTGGAGACAAGCTGACACTGTCACCCTTTGGGCTGGGCTGAGGAACAGAGCCTGAAACCAAGGATGCTGAGGGGGCTTAGGGGACACCAAGAGCTCACCCTTTTGACTGGAACAAGAATCAAAGGATCATGGGCCCCCAGAGTCACAACCATGTAAACTTCCAGGTGATTCCTTCTGCCATCCTTATTTTTCATCTAGATCTTTAACTGTACTCTTTTGGGTTTGTGGACCTAGTGAAGAAAAAAGCATCCTCTCCTGGCACTGTGACCCAGACCTCTTCAACTTTGAAATCCCTGCACCATATGAACATGCTCAGAAACAAGGCCTGAGAAGTCAACAATGGCTGGTTGTTCTGATATTTAAAGTGTGATGAGCACAGCATATTCACAAGGTGCTGCCTGCCAGCTGCTCCAGTCCCAAAAATACAATCCAGGGAGGCAGCATCTATGCTCAGGTCACAGACGCCTGCCTTTGGGCACAGGGAAGGAAAGGGACCTCCAGGAAGAAAGTCATGTTAGGAATCCACACAGATAAGCTTCAGAAAACTGACAGTCTCTTGTAAAAAGCGGGGGCTCTGGGGTGGGGGGGAGTGGAGGTGGAAGGGGAGCTTCATTTCTTTTCCACAACAGAACTTTCTAAAGTAAAGATGAGAGGCTAGTCTTTGTCAGAAAGACTTGGGTACATGTCCTCACTGGGCGGCCCTGGAAAAGTTACTGCTTCTCCTGGTACCAGGGAAGAATATTGCCTGCCCTGACGCTGGGAGCAATCAGTGACAAGAAGCCCAGAAGGCTTCTGGGCTCAACACTCAGTCAACACTCAAAAGCTAGTTAACTTAGATACTATTATTGGGCTGGTAACCCCAACAAGTGCAGTTCTTAAGTTAAATTTTCTAGCCATTCCCCTAGAAAAGATGAAAGAAACAAGATTCATTTTGATGCTATGCTTTAACCCAATTTATAAATATATGTATGTTCATACACATTAATAACATATTAATATATTGGAAATGAAATACTATGAGAAATATTATTTCAATATGTAATCATCTAAGAAAGTTATGAAATATTTTATACACCTTTGTTTTCCTCTCACTAAATTTTCGAGATTGCTGTGAACTTACAGTTAAAGCACGTCTGAATTTAGGTCCAACCAATTTTGGTGTGGCGGATGGAGAGCCTGGACTTCCGGGGCAACACAGGTCCCAGAGGAGTGGCTGGGTGGCCCTTCCTTATCAGAGCTAAGTGGACATTGCTATAAGTCTCAGCCTGTGTTTTAGATACAAGCACTTCCTGCCCAGGGATAACTTTCTACAATGCGACCAAAGTTGAAGAGACAAAAAAGGCAAATTACCAAGAAATAAATGGTTTATTTCTCTTTATATCCATAGATTAGTAGTAATAAACAATTATATACTCTCACCTCTCTTGACAGAAAACATACTTTCTTTATACCAAAAAAAAAAAAAAAACAAAAAACAAAAAACAAAAAAAACACTCTGGGTTTGACTTAGGGCTAATAAGGCCTAAGGTAACTGGGACCCAAACAGGCATGACCAAACTGATCATTTCGGGCAGAAGGGAGTGCTGGGGTGACTTGGAGATCTCCACCTGGGGGCCCTGAGGGCTAATGAGTAATAGAAAATGAGGGCATATGAGTGCTGGGGTGACCTAGGCCAGCCCCTTGTTTTATAGAGCTCATGGCTCAACTGTAGTGAGAGCTGAGCACACGGAGGGGCATAAAAGGTGATGGATGAAGCTCCAACATAGTAGCCCACGAACAGATGGAACTGTAGGAAGCAGGATGGCATATTGAAAAAACACCTTCTCTTCTGCTGGTGTAAAGTAAGAAAAGAACTGATATTTTAACAACAAGAGGATTCTGGAATGCAATTTAAGAAAATCAAACAAACAAAAACAAATGCTTGCCAGAGTCTTCAAACAACTTTTCAGCAGTTTTTGAGGTTAGTCCTGTTGGAAATGAGGGTCTGGGCTTATTCATAGAACACAGCTCTTTCCAGTCTCAGAAACCTCCCTTAACTGAATGGGACTTGGAGAGACTGGCATGAGATGACATTTGGACAGATGCCACTTTCTGCAAATGGCAAAGAAATGGCCTTCAAGTTTTGTGAGAGTAAAAGAACAAGGAAAATGCTAAGCCCAAATTTCCTACTTCATTCTTAGCCTATAGAATGTTTGCCATCCCAGATGAAGAATGAAAGCAAATGGAAGTTGTCTCTGTAAAGGTCACCTTGAACACCTTTACCTTAAATGACAAGCAAACCAGGAAAAGACAGTACATTAAAACAAGAGGCAGCAGAAAAGTACAAGGATGAATTTAAGTATTGAAGTTCCAAATATACTAATTCATTCCTATTTGTTTCATTTTCTGCTTCTTTAACAAATTGCAGAAAACCTGCAGAAGAGGTGGCTGAGTTAGCTGAGAAGGGACAGGCTTCAGCACTGCAGCGCCTGGCTTCCCGCCTAGAGAAAACTCACCAAACTTCTTTACCTTCTACATCTCAAAATGACCAACTCCTGGCAGAGTCCTAAAGTATTCAAATTACTTGTTATAACAGAGCAGAAATATTTGGACTTAGATATTAGTGTCTAAACCTTCATTGAGGGTTCAGAATCAAATAATCATTTCATACAAATTCATTTCTTTTGACTCACAGAGGCAAGGTTTGGAGCTTTAATCCGGCCTGGAAAACGTACTTCAGTGCTCAATGGTTTGAAACCTCCATGGCGATATTAGGGAATTAAATGGATTAAAAGCTTTAAGGAATATAAATATAAATGTGTGTGCCCTTGTATATACATATTTAAATGCTTGTTTAAATGCCCTGAGAGGACACTCATCAGTGCATGTAAATGCTAATCCCTCTGGTGATCATTTAGCGACAAGTTAACCTAAGAGGGGGAGGGTGGGATGTAATGCAGAGAGTGAGCAGAATTCAAAAGAACACAATGGGCCGAGACCACAAAAAGGCTGCAGCACTGACTCCAGAGCACTTCTTACTTGTTCCAGGACTCCAACTCAGTCCCCATCTCCTTCCCTGCCTTGACTGGGAAGCCTTCACAGGGTGAAGTGGGCTCTAGACCAGCCGGCACAATAAGCAAAGAACCCCCAGAGGAGTCTCCAAAGATGTGAAAACACAAAACGCAAAGCACAACAAAACAGCCTGTGAGCACTGCTGTGTGGTGAGCCAGAGGTTAAGGAAGGAGTCATGTTTGTCAAGAGGGGGGAACTGGCCTTGCAACAGGGGAGCCCCGCATCTGTGTCTGCACCCTTGGGCATGGTACAATCAGCATGACTTGCTCTCAAAGTGGGGAGGCAACACAGGCCATTCTCTACAACAGCCCGTGACCCCCCAGCAAGCGAGATTCTTGACACGGGGAAAAGCAGTCAAGGTCCTTCTTTCTGACACACTGAAAAGGAGCAGAAGCCCAGGGCTGTGATTTCCAGCAGTGATGTTTGAGTTTCCTTTAGGAGACCTTCCTCTGGGAGAAAACCAGCAAGGCCTCACCCAGTCCACCCAGCAGGAGGCTGCAAAAAAAAGCAGAAGATCAGGGTTGCCCTCCTGGAGCTGACTGGGAAGCCCCCTCAAGCTGCCACTGGGAGGCCCACTCCGTGCTCAAATGCCCCCCTGGAGGTCAGGCCCCAGAACTGCCCTCCTCCCCACCTTGGGGGCAAAGCTCCTAAGTAAGCCATGCAGTAGAAGGGACCTGAGCTTTGAGGTGGGGTTTCCTTCTATCAGAGAAGGTGGTGTGTCCAACTCATTCTGACCAGGGAAGGTGGACGCACATATCTGCTGTTCTCCTAACATCCCTTCAAGAAGGACTCACTGTCTTCACACTTAGGCAAGTGAGAAGAGCTGAGACCCCGTGCAACTTGGGGCTGGGGAGGGTTTTATTTCTGCGAGTGTAACCAGGAGCTCAGTCATTTCTACACTTACCACTAATCCTCCTTAATCCCCAGGGAGAAGAACAGGGTAGTGGCTGGCTCTTTGCCACTTTTATTCCCGCAGTCTTAGAACAATGCTGAAGTGCATTTCATCCTTCTACCTTAGCTATTTTATGAAACACCAAAGCAGCTTAGTGAATGCTAAATGAAAACAAATCTTGTTCTGTTTACTGTGAAGAGAGCCAGGGAGGTGAGCTTTGATGCTGTTTTCTAAACAGCAGGAGAGATAACACAGGGTGCAGGAATCTTAATAGCATTACAACTATTTAAGTCAGAGTTTCACTGAACCTTCTGCAAATCATGTAATCCTCGGCCCTCCTGAAATAAACAAACTTCATGTAACTAAGGCCTAAGCATCACCCCACCAGAAACAGTGGTATCCAGCATCTTCAGCACATCTCAGTCCTCTTTTCTCCCTTTGGGGGGGTGGGGGCTCATTTTTACATTCATTTTTACATTCATCATTGAAGTTATTCAATTAAATCCTCTTGAACCCACTAGACAGAGGACAGACGGAACCCTTCTTCAGCTGAACGCAACTCTCAGTACTCATCAATGAATGATGATTCTATACTTGCTCCGCTATCCCCACCAAAATTCTACACTATTTTGCTCTTTTCTCTTTTCCTCACCAAAACCTGTCTGCCCGATATACTATTCCCTCAGGTCCTTGCTAAGTGACAGTTCACATCTGATAAGTCACTCTGTGCTGAGGTAACAATATTTATTTAGAAGGCCCTCCTTCAAATGCATTTCAAAGAGGAGTTTTTAATTTTTTTATTTATGCATACAGAACTGGGGTTCTGGCCAGAGGGATGAGGGATGAGAGGATTCACCAGAGACAGAGTGGGGAACAGAAAAGGCAGATTGATGAAGTATACTGCTATGGGGAGCAGCCGGCAAGACAGGAGAGGTCCACCACACCATGTGGGTCACCTCCAGGGCCAGGGATCGAACTCGTGCTGCAGGGGCTGCCAACAGCTTCTTAGTGCTATGCTTTAACTGAATGTGCCACCAGAGAGGGCTGGAGTTTTAAAATTTTTTTTTTTAAAGATTTATTTATTTGTTCATACAGAACTGGGGTACAGGCCAGAGGCTCAGGGGCAGTGAGAGAACTCACCAGAGACAGAGTGGGAAGCAGAACAGGCAGATCGAGGAAGTACACTGCTGAGGGGAGCAGCGGGCGGGTCAGGAGAGGTCTGCCACGCCATATGGTCACCTCCTGGGCAGGCAGGAATCGAACTCATGCAGAAGTGGCTTTAGCTTCTCAGTGCTGTGCTTTAACCTGCTACACCACCAGGGAAGGCCGGAGTTTTTAAATTTTTAATTCAAAAGGAACGCTGGTAAATTTCAGACACTATTATCCTACTAGATGAGTTTCAGAGTGTGTTGGGAGATGTTCTCTAAATTCATTCTTCCTACAAAGAGATGTGGATGATCTCTATGAAGATGTGGATGGTGCTCTATGAAGTTAGAGCATTTTCTAAAGATTCTTGGTGTCGTGACCCTCTGGCTGGGGACATCTGATCACTGGCAGACTCGGGGAAAGCCTGGCAAAGGGGAGAGGAGGTCATGTTGTAGCCCTTTCTTTCTCCCCTTACACGCAGAGAATGACTCTCCTTGTCTAAATAAAGAATTCAAAGAGGCACCACCCAATGCTGATCAACAGAATTTTTTTTATGAACTGAATGCCTTTTACTACAATTTTGCAACAGAGAGAATTCATAGGGATACAGACCACAAAAGTCTGTTAATTATAAAATGAACAATTAAATGTGAATCTGAATATTTAAATTCCTGGGATTGAAATGGATTGTTTTTATAATGAAAACAAGATAATCAACTGCGCAAGAGCTGTTGATTTTAAAGACTTTAAAAGTTCATCAGTGTTGGGTACTTGGTTTATAGCTATTTTCATGTTCAGTATTTAGAAGGTTGACTACTTATTATTTATCCAGCAAGTACTAAGTGCTACATAGAGAGATGCAAAGGTGAATAAAACAAGGTGGTCCCCGAGTTGAGGCAGTCACAGATAGAGGTCACAGGGAGTGTGCGCGCCTGCCTGTCACTCAGTAGGTGCTGAAGGGCTGTGCACACAGGGTGTAGGGCCTGCTGACTCCTACTTGAGACAACCCAAATCTTTACTTACGCGATAGGCAAGTTCCTTAAGAACTTATTCAATTTCCTCACTAACACCTTTAGATCAGTGATTCCCACCTGTGGTGATTTTGCCCCCAGAGGGGACAGTTGGCAATGTAAGAGACATATTTGACTGGTTCAAATGAGGGGGTGCTACTAACACCTAGTAATTTAGGGGTCAGGTCTGCTGTTAAACATCCTACAAGGCTCAGGAGAGTCAACGACAAAGAATTAATCTGGTCCAATTTGTGAACAGTGCTTAGGGGAAGCCCAGACTTTAGAATATCATGTATTTAGTACTGCTAAGCTGGTGCCTGTCCCAGCAGGTAAAGAGTGATACCCGCGTCTATGCATTGGCAAGGCTCACCAGGGTGCTGGAGTCACAGGCAGTGCCTGTAGTCCCAGAGTCCAGCAGGCACTCTGTGCAAAATGAATGGGCATAGACTCAAAGGGGTGTGAAGATGCCAGCCAGACAGTGTGTTCCCCTCAGCCAGTTTGGGTGGTGGAGAGGCCAAGCCCGCAGGAGAGGCAGCCTTGACCCATCCAGCATGTGCTGCTTTGGGGAAGTGCAAGCCAACATTACAACTGCCTCACACTCTTCAAAAACATCAGTCAGTTTCTAAATATTGATGGGTAATTTGAAACCTGAGAAGCAAAACAAAAGTGAGAAACAATAACTACATAGGCAGACACATAGATCAAAAAAAGTCAGGCATGCAGCCCCCTATGTCCATGGCCAAGACCAGTCCCACTCCTGTCCAGAATCTGAGGACTGGTCATCTTGTCACAGTTTGAACACCCCCAGTATATAAACACCCTCAGTATATGAACAACACAGACCAGTTCTTTGCAAAAGACAGAAAATTCGAAACGCAGTCTGACACTCCTTTCTGCTGGTTCACTTTGTGGTTGGAAAATTCTTTGAGGCTGAAAACACACCATCCTTAAATTCAAGAGTTCTCAAAAATCAGGAAATTCCAAAGTCAAGGTTCCTTTTGCAATAATCACACATGCTGTTTCCTTGATTTGGGTACACACTGCTTTTCTTTCCATTTTGTTCAGGGCATACCATAAAGTTCACAGGATGTGAAACAGCCTGGGGACACGGCCTCACACAGAAAGTCACTGGAATAGACAGACGAGCGTTTCCTCCCGCTGGCAGGCTATCTCGCTCTCATTTCCCACATTCAAATCAACACCTGGCTTTTTTTAATTCTAAAATTCTGTACAAAATAAGATCCATGAGGGCTTATTTGTAAGAAGGACAAATGCTGGCACAATGGGTTGGGATGCAGCACTGCAAGCTAGCGGCAGCCACTTCAATGCAAATTCAATCCCCGGCCCTGAAGGTGACCCACATGGCGTGGCAGACCTCTCCTGACCTGCCCGCTGCTCTGCTCAGTAGTGTACTTTGTAGACCTGCCTGTTCTGCTCCCCACTCTGTCTCTGGTGAAGCCTCTCACTGCCTCTGCACCTCTGGCCTGTATCCCAGCTCTGTATGAATGAATAAATAAATAAGTCAAAAAAAGAAAAAAGAAAGGCAAATGCTGTCAAGAACTTGATGATCAACATGAAGGTTGCAGAACTTTGGGAAGTCTTAAGAATGTACCAGGATTCAAACCCTTTTTCTCCTGGAACGTGGGGTTTCAGGTATTAACCTGACCAAGATTTGTGGCATCCTCTCCTAGAAAGACTGAAGCAGAGGGAGCAGAGGGATCACAGGATTAGTGCCCTGTCCCACAGCTCCAGCTCTAACCATTAACCAACACGACATCAGCACCTCCTGCGCCACATCCTGGTATGGGGGCGGAGGTGGGCAAACCCGCTTGCACCCTCAGCCTACCTAAGCCTCTCCCTTCGGCATATGGCCCAGTGTCCAGCCAGCTCCTTCCTGATCACTCTGTTCTCTTTTCTTTCAGGTTCCACATCCAGTGAGCATATAAGCCATTATGACCCGATCCCATACATTTTCTTTTTATTTCCCTTGAAAAGGCATTGAGGAATGGATGTTGTCTTATACTTATTAATGGCTTCCATACAGTCTGCATAGAGTAGACATTTGATAAATATTTTTAGCTGGTGAACAGAATTCTAGCTTATTGTATTAAAAAATCTAAGTTAGGACCCTCCCTGGTGGCGCAGCGGGTTAAAGCACTGCACTAAGAAGCTAAAGCCACTTCCTCATGAGTTCGATCCCCGCCTGCCCCGGAGGTGACCACATGGCGTGGCAGACCTCTCCTGACCCGCCCGCTGCTCCCCTCAGCAGTGTACTTCGTCGATCTGCCTGTTCTGCTCCCACTCTGTCTCTGGTGAAGCCTCTCGCTCCCCCTGCACCTCTGGCCTGTACCCCAGTTCTGTATGAACAAATAAATAAATCTTTAAAAAAAATCTAAGTTAATGAGATCTTTTCTCTAAAAAGATTCAGTGGACATTCTTAGTTTACCCATTAGCCCCTGACAAGAAATAGAACCGGTTTGTTCTGAGTAACATGTCTTCTGTTTTGCTGTTGAATCTTTAGGTTCTTTGTAAATTATTTGACTAGTGGTAAGAGGAACATCTAGGCCAATTTCTCTTCCATCTCCATTATGACCCATTGCTACCTATAAATGGTCTACACCACTGGTAAATCCTTGGCATTTCTCAACTCAGTTCTCGGTAGCTACATGGCAGGTAATGTGGCCTTGGACATGCACATCTGCTTTGATTCCTGGTCCACTTGTGTCATAGTACAAAATGATGGGAAGTCATGTAAAGGGCTGAACCTCTACTTCTTTATCTTTAAAATGGAAGCAACTTGTACTTCTACAATTTGTTTATAATGACAGCTATAAAGCTGTATATAAGAAAACTCTGTGGCATAGCAGACATGCATGCCATATCACCAAAAATATGGGGGTAAACTTGGAGGATTACTGACAGGAATAGTAACATAATATTAATAATAAAATAAATTAATGTAAAAATAATATTAATGTAAATATTAATATAAAAGTGTCTAAAACATAGTAGTTGTTCAATAAATGTTTGCTTATTACTATTAAATGGAAAAGGAGGAGAAGCCAATAAGGAAAAGAGGATCAGGAGGGTGCAGAAGTGTTTCCTAATTTTTTTCTTTTGCTTCTACTCTACTTTTCTTTTTAGAGGAGGAAATGCTTCTAGTAAGGGCTCCCAAGAGAAAATGAGAATCAAATTTTTTTTAATGCCACAAGCAAAAGAGGTGAATTTCTATCAGTCTGGGATGATTTAAATATGGGCCTTCCCTCAAGCAGGTGGATGAACAACTATAGACACCACAGGGATAACAATTTTTCACTTTTATTTAAAAAGAGTTTCTGAGCTTTGATAAATGTTTACTGAATGAATGAACCCCTTCTAGCTCAAGACTACATGAGATGCTAACCCACCTCCTGGACTATCTCATCCTGGTATTCACACATTTATCCTGAAGGACTCTCCTACAGAAGTTTAAAAATATTGTTTCCATGACTACAATAGCGCAAGGGATTGGTCACAAGAAGTTCTAGAAGACAGGAGGCTGCTATGGGCCCACCAGCACTGTGGCTTTTGAGTCAGGGGACAATTTTGGAGATCCAACTTATGAACAAATGCAAAAGAAAACAAAACAAAAATTAACAACAACAACAAAAAAAAATGGGAACCAACTCTTAGGATTACTTTGATTCCAAGTTTAAGAAGAAAAAAAAATACTGATTTTCAAGAACCATGCCTTATTTGAGCAAAACTAAATAATGTATTTCCTTTCTGTATTACTAATACATAAATATAAAAACCTATTCTAAAACTTTCTATAGAAAGTTCAAGTTTGAAGTGCCATTCCATGCAGGTGGCTGGAAGCAGCGAGGGACTCTTCCAAACAATATGTCAAAATGGAAATGGAAATAAGCATTATCTTAAAATGGCCCTGGTTTGTTTTTCTTTTAAAATACAAGCTAGGAGACCAGTAAGCATGTGATTTCTCTGCTCAAAATCCTCCAATTGCTTCCTATTGCACTCAGGACAAAGCCAAGTTCTTATAATGGCCTACAAGACCCTGCTTGGTCAACTACCTCTCTAACCTCATCTCCTACTACTGTCCCTCTTGTCTGCTTTGGTCAGGCCAAGCATATGGCTACCTTAGGACCTTTGCACTTGCTGGTCCCCCACCCTCACCCCCATCTTCCAAAGGTTCACTCCTTTATCTCCTTCAGGTCTCTGTTCATATATCATTGAGAGAGGCAGTGTTGTCTTTAAGTAAATAGTGAGTGTATTCTAAACCAGAATGATTTGGTGTTTTTCTAGGAGAAAATGAACTGAAGGATCAAAGAAAAGGAAAGAAACCCAAAGCTAGCTAGCTAGATCCATATATGTCTGTTTATCTATAAACCCTACCTATCAAAAAATAATGGCTCCCAAAATGGTGACTTATGTGGATGAATGTCTGCAAGATGTAGTGATTATGTTCTGTTTGTTGACCTGGAAGCAGACAGTGTAGGTGTGCTATGTTCATCAAGTTGTGTAGTCATGATATATACACTTTTTTAGATGTATATTTTTATGTCAATAAAACATATGCCCCAACACACAGCTCCCCATCTGGGGGCAAAAGTTAATATCCTGATGAAATTCAAACTAACTTGCATTTCCTCTCTCTATGCAGAAGACTTACCATCCTACAGTTGCTCTAGTCAGGGTCATATCAAACAGCACCGTTGATAAACCAGCTGTGATTACCTGCAGAAATAATTAACAATAGGTCATCAGCGCAGCAGGACTTCAGTAACCTTCTCCAAAGTCACTTTTACAAGCTCAATTCAGATCCCTGAATTAGCCATTTCTTCCCAATGTCCTTTTCCCTACATTCTTCCTAGTGCTTAGTGTTATCTCTGAGCACAGCATTTGGCATGGAATATGTTAAGTCCTAGTCTATTTTGGAGGTGGGAATTTTCAAAGCATTTAACTTCCAAACTTCTTTAATAGAGGAGACACACAGCCAACATCTCACTCATCTTTTCAGAGCAGGAGCCTTGTAAGAACACTCATTTCCATCTTGTTTCAGTCATGCAGAATTAATCTCCAAGGTCAGTGGTGTTCATTAACCTGATGCCAGATCCTCTCGAAAAAAAAAAAAAAAACATATCCATCCAGCCATCTTTAGCACTGTCTCTCTCCCTGTCCTAATGCCCTGTCTTTCTGGCCCGTGTGACACATTCTAAGAAAACAGGCGCTGCCTGGGGAAGGGAGCAATTAAATCATTAATTAATTATTTGCAAATATCTAGAAGTAAAAGGAGAGGGAAGAGGTTATAGCTGTATCTCTCCAAGCTGGAAATTACAGAAAAGTTTACCTCCCCCAAACAGTCCCAGGTCATGAAGCACCTTAGGAATGGCAATAAGGAGATGCAGACCCCTGCTGTGCATCTAAACAGTTTGTGAACCAGGACCCAACTCTGTGAACACACGGAACTGGTGCTCCAGAAAAGATGTTTATTGTTGCCAGAATACTGCATTCTGAAATGTAGAACCTCTTCCATTAAGAAGGACACACTAAAGATTGAGTTTCTAAGTAACACGTTACATTAGCATGTGACACTCAGACTGGAGAACCTTGGAAAAGTCAACCACCATTGACATTTCATCAAGGAACTTCACGGACTGCCTCTTCAGGTGGCCAGGTTGGGAACAAGGCAGCGAGCAGATGGTTGGTAGGAAGTAGTATGTTTAAGGAGGCTCATTTTCCTTCATTGATCATTTGCTATTTCAAACAGAAGTCTGGAAATATAAACCTTTCAGTATGTAAACTCTGTGATGCTGGAACCTTGTCACTCACCCATTTAGGTTCACTTTCTGATTGTTTTCCTTGCAGCAAAAACCATGACAACAAAACAAAAAAAAAGCAGCACAAGAAAGATTTCTCACAGTGCTGAGTGGCATGGGATGTCCTTTTGCCTTAAATAGGCAACATTTGGTTTAGGACTTTTCCATCTATGATGCAAAGAAGTAGGCCCACAAGTTATTACCTTGGAAGCTAATTGCTGGGTTTTGTAACAAGGTTAACTGATCACTGCTTATTTTCCTGGAGGGATAAAGTTGACCTTTACTATAAAGTAAAGGCTTTAATGTCCCTAAACCTGGAGCTTCTAGTTAGGAGTGGCCTAGTTGAAATGTGGTAGCAATGGTCAGAGTTCTCACTAAGTCTTCTCTTTCTCCTTGATCCAAATTTGCCATTTTAGTTTTACCAAGACTGTACTTCATCTAGGTATTCCAATTCATTAACATTTAGTTGATTAGAGAAATCTCTTAATCTCATGTATGCCTACTTTTATCACCATCCTTTTCTTAAACTTCTGTCATTTCCCCTCCTTTTTCATTTCTTCATTTTGACCAAAGTTAACTACCTTACTGATGTCTCTTTCCTTCTGAAACTCCTTGGACAGTTCTTGGGATGGTGCCCATGAAGATGTATCTTAGAATCGCTGAATGAAGCTCTATTCTATTGATGGATGTTAGTGATGCCGGCAGCTTGGCATAATGGAACAACCTCATTAAATTAATGAATGGCCAAATCTTCACTATCGTATTCATTGACTTTTCTCCTTTTTACCAGATATTTCCTCCTCCCCCCCCACCCCTGCATTAATGATTAAAGGACCAATG